TATCCAAAAAACCTTTCTGGTATGACAGGAACCAAAAGAATAGGAATAATATCCAGTACAGCATGTTGGGTTAATCCAATAAGCAAGCCCTATCACTACGACAAGGTAGCAGCTACCAGTTAAAATGAATGCTTTCAAACTAACCATAGATCCTTATACTTCAGGGCACACCAGACATCAAGGTAGGTGGTGCATTGGTAAGCTCAAGCCAACTCAGTGGATGAAAACTCACAACTTCGTCGACTGGTTTGACTTTCTTATCTAAACATTTACGTCCAATCTCCACATCGCTCAGACAGTAGTCTTACTACATGCGAACAACGCTACGAGGAAACCAAAGGTAAAAGCTTGTAGCCTACTCAAATTGTCCACCTTTGATGACTATAACTCGCAGCCACTCAACATGAAAGCGCAGGTTACCAAACGGTGGACCGATCTTTAAATCACACCACAGGTGAATTATGTTGGAAAGTGGTGGACCAGCTTTCTGTATACCAGCTGAAGTCTCACTACTAACCAAACAGTCCATTAGATCTAATGCAAATTCTCAAGTGAGCGAAGCGGTCAACGTATTACATCACTCCGTCCTATGTTTAAAATAAGAATTGGCGCAAACCATGTCCCGAGTATAATCTTACATTTAACGGGGTAAAGCGCAAGACAAACATACTCAAAGTGTTCACAAGACTACCTCCCATCAACTGCTTCCCCCAAAAGGACTATGACTTCGACATTCTCAAAGTCAACTATATTTAAGTTATCTCACCTGAATGATGCCGTTAACTTGTCATCACGCAGTTTTGTGCACTTTATTGTGTCCACAAACAGCGTGAAGGGATTTTACTGACAGTTGATTCTCGTTATTCTAGTCTAGCATAAATCAACCCATGAATATTCTGTACTAATGGCAAAATGGTCAACATAGGTGTAAAGGATAAACTGAGACTACTGGCCAACTCCATGTCAAGTTACTTCTTTCTGTGAACTTGGATATATTGGTCATATATATCCTGAGACAAACTGTCAGACGCTAATATTTACACCTTCTGACAGGATATAGTAAAGGTAAATGTAAGTTGATCAACAGTTTCCTCCTATGAAATTTGGAAGAAAGAAAGCAGTTCAGAAAAAGCAATTCGAAAGAGTTAAAAGAATCTTCTAAAACCTGTAAGATAATCTCGAGTTTGTTTTACACAGGCTTTATTTATATATATTTATATATATATATATATATATATATATATATATATATATATATATATATATATATATATATATATATATATATATTTATATTTTATGCATTTAGTCCCATTAATGAACTTGAATAAGTAAATGAGAACACTATTTGATGAATAAAATTTCTTTCAACCAACGTTTCGCTATTTAGTGCTAAGAGGTTTATCAAAGTTACAGTAAACCGGAATTTACAATAACCAAGAGTATATATGACATGGAGACAACAATGGCACAGATATATACACATACTATCTTTATTTGAATGAATATACCGAATTTCATTATCTCATTCATCCATGCTATCTTGCCATGACTTGCTACCACTTTTTTCTTTATCGTCCATTTTGATGTATTCTCAACTGAAGTGCAGATATGAGGTGTGATAACTTGGACTGTTACGCAGTAATGCTAGGTCCCATACAGATATTATCCACCTATCTCCACGACGTAACAGAAATACAATTGCTTTTGTTAACCTTCCTTTTGTTTTGATTCAACTGTTATGTTTGCACTAATGAAATCCATATCACCAGCACCAGACGATTACAGAGCATAGAGTTACTTTTACTGCCGCAATTTCCTAACCACTGCTGATAAGAGAGAGCAGTATCTACATGGAATGTTGTCTACGGAGAATACCTTATTTCTATTACACTCCGCATACCGAGCAGTACTCTGTCATCGAATCCCCGTCACTGTACAAATTACTGGCATCACGAAGACAACTGCTTTTGGTCTCATCATTATCCAAAAAACCTTTCTGGTATGACAGGAACCAAAAGAATAGGAATAATATCCAGTACAGCATGTTGGGTTAATCCAATAAGCAAGCCCTATAACTACGACAAGGTAGCAGCTACCAGTTAAAATGAATGCTTTCAAACTAACCATAGATCCTTATACTTCAGGGCACACCAGACATCAAGGTAGGTGGTGCATTGGTAAGCTCAAGCCAACTCAGTGGATGAAAACTCACAACTTCGTCGACTGGTTTGACTTTCTTATCTAAACATTTACGTCCAATCTCCACATCGCTTAGACAGTAGTCTTACTACATGCGAGCAACGCTACGAGGAAACCAAAGGTAAAAGCTTGTAGCCTACTCAAATTGTCCACCTTTGATGACTATAACTCGCAGCCACTCAACATGAAAGCGCAGGTTACCAAACGGTGGACCGATCTTTAAATCACACCACAGGTGAATTATGTTGGAAAGTGGTGAACCAGCTTTCTGTATACCAGCTGAAGTCTCACTACTAACCAAACAGTCCATTAGATCTAATGCAAATTCTCAAGTGAGCGAAGTGGTCAACATATTACATCACTCCGTCCTATGTTTAAAATAAGAATTGGCGCAAACCATGTCCCGAGTATAATCTTACATTTAACGGGGTAAAGCGCAAGACAAACATACTCAAAGTGTTCACAAGACTACCTCCCATCAACTGCTTCCCCCAAAAGGACTATGACTTCGACATTCTCAAAGTCAACTAAGTGCTCCTTGGATAGAAAACAACCCCTCAGAAGTTGGAAATGCGTATGATCATATCTACAAAATCACAATTAAATAGGAAAAATTATGGTAACATATCTTTGCTGGACACTGCTGATTTTTGTCACCTCAGACAAAAACTCTCCAAAGCCTTGGATGACAATGGGAGTAAGGAAACTTGATTAGTAAGATAAACTGGTTCAGTGTTCCTATCACAGTGAGAATAGGGTCTTAATGCACATGCTTGTCTTCTCATACCCGTCAAAGGGTGAAAACTGGTTCAGGTCTTAAGCCTGTTTGTTTTGTTTTAGAGATCCAAGCACACAAGAATCTTAGATACTATTTTAGCCACATATATCTATTTCCAGAATGAAATCAAATGTTATACGCTTATCCAAGGATTTATGTAAATTGTGCAGTGTTTAGGTGTAAATTGAGTGAACAGAAATGAAAAACATTTTTAGATAGAAGAAAGAGGAAAATTGATACAAGACAGTAAATTAAGAAAACATTTTGTACTGAAGAACACTGAATTTATCCTAAACAAAATCTCATCTTGTTAGTGCGTGACCAGCCAATAATTTTGATATCTTGCTTCAAATTTACAAAGGAAGAATAGTTTTTGATCCTTAAAAAAAAGTTGAGGAGTATCAACAGCCTCCAATATTAGATATAAAAGTAGAAGAATATTCAAGAAACACTAAATGCAAGAATTACAAGTTTTTATTGAGAATATTTTCATATGTGTAAACCTTATTCAACAGTAAATAATAATTAGTTAGTTCGTTAGTTAGTTAGTTCAAAATAACAGAAATAATACAGAGAACAGTAGTCGTTGTTACATAACTTAGAAAAACGTTTGTACGACTACATTGAGATTAGTAAATTGAAAGGATATGTTGTTTGTTAAAGTTTCATCAAGCTCTAGCGTTATATATTATGGTTGTATACCTACTAATCAAGAAGATACATGCAAATTACAATTCAAAATAGAATGTAAATATATCCAGTTATTCATATTACATTAAATAAGATGAAGTAATTATTACTAGTCACAGACAAAAGGAGGCACAGAATATTTAGATACAGAAACTATAAGTAAAATGGCAAAGATTAAAAGTTTATTACTATAAGGTTATGAAGATGAATAAAGGTGACTGTTATGATTTGAAACTGCTATAACCGCTATCGATGCACACATATCTACTGTCAGCCATCACCATTCTACAACTTGCTAGTAGATTCCCAACCCGACTAATTAAATAGAAAAGACACGATGAACGTGTAATTTCGACCGAAGACCATAAACAAAGAAAATGTAAATAAACATATACATAGTTCGGTGTTTAAAATAATGACATTGATTGGGTGATCGACGGTCTATCTGTCTGACGATAGGCATGAATAGCACAAAATGCATTTTGATTGGTCCATTTCCAAACTAGCATAGTATCTCTCGATCCCCTTATCATCTCCCTCTTTGAAAGAGTGTTACTCTGGGTCAATGTGGATCCGCATAATCTTTTTTCTGTACCTATCTGATAGATGTAGAGTAGTTGGTTTTCATTTCGAGTCCATGTCTCCGATCCAACTGCGACATCGTACATAGTATTACTACGTCTCCTGATAATTGATCCTTCTGTCCACTTGTTATGTCCTGCTCTGTAGTCTCTGGTGAACATTTATGTCCAAGTTTTGAAGAATTGTGAGGCAACTGGTAAATTAGCTGCAGATGGCCTAGGAATCAAGGCATCCCGTATACTACGCGTTAAATATATCGAGAAAACTACTCACCCTCCAAGAACGGAGGAGAAACTCACTCCGCATCAGTCAGATCCACATTGACCCTGAGTAACACTCTTTCAAAGAGGGAGATGATAAGGGGATCGAGAGATACTATGCTAGTTTGAAAATGGATGGGTTGGGAATCTACTAGCAAGTTGTAGAATGTTGATGGCTGACAGTAGATATGTGTGCATCGATAGCGGTTATAGCAGTTTTAAATCATAGCTCAGTTGGTAGATCACCGAGCTGGTTTGAATCTGACCGCGGTCCAAATTTTCATTTCATATTCAATCATCATCCAGTGTAAATACTGGTCTGCTAAATCGCAGACAGTCAAAATGATCATCATAATAGTTGAGCGAAAGTAGCACAAAAACAAGACTTTAATTTTACAATGAAAATACATACATACTATAAAGTTAGTTTTTTTAAAAACTAGCCATCCTTACTGACAGTGAACAACACATGGAAAAAACAAAACAGTTTAACGAGTCTTAAATGTTAATTGTACAGGAAGACGATGTTTAAGTTCTCTGAGTGAATAAGACGTACTCTGGGCATAAACTTCCAATAGATTATTCCATATGCCTTTATTATAAAAATTTCTATAATTATTATGCACATTGTATGCTTCTTTTATACTAGTTGAATAATTTGACAACTTTCGTCTGTCATTCAACGTTGATTGTCGTCTTACTTTAGTAGTCAATCTAGTAGATGTCATAACTTTCGACATCATTATTTCACTATCTATAAATGCTGAAGAATTATTCATTAGTTCCGTTCCCAACAACAATTCATCGTCCTCATCATCATCTTCATGTGTATAACATTTGCTGTTGATTAACTTTTTCCCTTGAAAATATTCATATGATGTACAGTTGATAAGAATAAGCCAGATATGAAATACTAAATAGTAAATCAATAATAATTCGGCCACAATCAACATGCCAATCATACCCACAACACGAGGAAATGTCATAAACAGATGCTATAGATAGTAGGAAAAAGGAAGATAAAAAGGTCAGATGAATATTATGCAGACAAAGCTGTGTTCTGACATATTTCAAATTATTTTATTAAATTAATGTAAATACTAAATGGGTTAAATTTCTTTTTAGAAAACATTTGCCAATATTATAAAAAGGTTACTCAGTCTAAAATAGATTGGAAAAGGTAAAATCTAACATTTGTCAACCTTAAACATTTTGGAGCTTGTTTTTTTTTTTTTAAATGCAGCAAGCCTAAAATTTTTATAACGTCCTACCGTTTATCGGTAAAATAGATCTATGATACAGAGGGAATTTTTACTCCCACTAGCATAAGTTTGAACCCATTGTGAATAATGCTGCAAACAGATACTCAAAGTTGAATTATTTAATGCAGCACAATTTAGAATAGCATTTATACTAAAGATGGTAAATAAATATCGATAATGCTGAAAAATGAAAGAGGTTTGGATGACTAACGGCGAACTTAGAGTGTTGCACAACTTAGTATCTTAGAAAATATGGTGATAATCTAAAACGTAGTGTTGAAGAGTTGTTAAAAATGCCAACCTATGTAATTTCGTCTCAAAATTCGGACGAAATCCTATCAAAAGCAAAACAAAGTCACAGATCATAAGGATATTTTAAAATAACAATAGATAGAGATGTGCAATAGTATTTGACTTCGCTAAAAATTTAACACCGTCTTATTTCACTACTTCGATTCTTTTATTCAACTAAAACTTTGTCAGTCATAAAACTATCCAAGTTGAATCACATATCCAACTATTTCGTGCTCCATAACACTGATCATGGGATGACAACTTTAAATTTAAAACATATGCAACTCATGCACTCTGAGTACCTTCAGTTTTTATTGAAGACATTTAGGCATCTTCTGAATATCTCCATATAATGGGGATATGCAAACTGTATAATTTAGGTCAATTAGAGAATATCAGCGAGTAAATTCAGAGGCAAACAGAGTCAACTACTTTGAACAATTCATTAAATAAAACTGAGAAGAAACAGTAATCATGAATATTTATTCCTAATGGACATTAATTTAAAGCACAAGCCATAATACACTAGCTTCAATTTTGTATTATTGATAGATAGTCTCTAGCGGTGGAAACCGATACATACATTTCGTCCTATTTGAGACACGTCAGCTGGATGTACCTGTCTCCCAGTGAGCGATATTTTTCTCACTAAGACTAGGACCTGGGACCGAATGCTTCAAACGCCAGAGTTATGCACTAGGCCGCCGAGTCACGATAGCCACTCCTTGTGTGACATGTATAGTTTTTACGTTCTTACTTGCATTATCCCGTTGTTCATTGGATCGAATTGATCGATCTCTGTTGGCATATGGGTGCAAGGATGCTTCAATACTGTCTAGGTTCCAATTTTGAATTAATGACGGACAGTGGTTGCTAATGGAATCCAGGGCGCGCGTTTTGTCCTATTTGAGACTCGTCAGTTGAAAATACCTGCCTTGAAGTAAGTGTTGCTGTTCCAACTAAGACTCGAACCCAATAAAGACCGATTACTTCGGTGCAACGAATGACGGGATAATACAGGTGACAACCTAATACACTTGTGATGACATCCATACATTAATTAACTAAATAAACATGGGGTTATAAACTAAAATATCATCGAAAATCAACAACAGAACGCATTCCATTGAATTCATGAGAAAAAGCAATATGCATCATGTTAACGAAACAAAGTGACCAATTATAAGAGACTTGATGAACGACAAGACCATTCTGCATCACGAATAAAGTAAATAGAAATAGATCACTAACTCAATACCTTATCTTATCATCAACAACAAACTAATAATTACCAATCGAATATATGGATTTCTGTAAATGTTTTCTAGTGATAGAAACAACAGTAGTAGTTGCTTTAACAACAATTAACATCATACTAATAGCTTTAAAAAAAGTACAAGAAAAGTCACACAGATTTGAATTATCATCCAATAGGAAAGTTTATAACTGAGAATTTGTCTTTGCCTAAAGATGTCCATGATGTATAATTGCTGGACAAACTGACAACCAATTTCTCCTCTACTTTGAGCAGTTCAGTATATGTTATTATGATGAATTAAATTTTCAACATCATATAAGGTGCTTCGAAAATACTACGTAAAAGAATACAAATAAATAAAACCAACGTAGAACCTCGTACAAAAGTGTATCGGTTTAAGTTACCACATAGGTAGAAAAAATCATATCAAAGTAGACTAATCCATATGGGAGGCAAGTAACTTGAAAAATAAAGATTAGTAAAAAAATTTACCAATTTAAAAGATGTCAAAGTGAATACAACTGAGCCATTATGACCTATTTTCAGGTGTTTCACCAAGGTTCTCGAATCAATGATTCCTTTTGTGTCGAAAACCTAAACCACGCAGTCTACACCTCATTACAATCCTCAGACCAAACCTGTAGCGATAAATAAACCTCCAAAATGAATGCCAAGGATTAGAGACTGAACATTAACACTAACCTTCATAGCTTTAACAGACTAGCTAAGCTGAAGGTACATAGTCATTCAGAGCACGATAGTGTCATGTTGTGCTGTGCTGCCCGTATGCGTTCCTCTGGCCAGTCAGTATTTTGGTATCTTGGAACGGGTTATCGTATACATTATTCCATCTGCCTACTCTATTGTAAGAATAATTAATCATTGATCTTTGCGTCTGTCAACTTTCCGTTTGCTCATCAGTAACAACAAGCACGAAACCTAGGTATATGGCCTCCTGTCGATCGCCTCCAACTAACTAATATCAAATAGTGATCTCTTAAACTCTACGGGTTTTCATTTAACAAACGCCTCAGGAAACTGACTATATCACTCTTCACGTTATCATATTTAAGTTAGTTTATTGTTCATTTATCATACCTGGGATAGTGTAAACCAATCCATTGGATGCATTTGATCATATTCATCCAGATAATGAGCGTGCCATAAATTCTCATGCTACAAGTAAATAGACAAATAAATATTGACAAATTTCAAACAAAATCGTCACTGCACTTACAAGTCATCGATATGAGGTTTTATAGGCTCATCTGTAAAATCTGACTACTAGCCAACTTTTAACCTGACTTCAATTACTGAGCACTGTAAAAGCTATCGATTAGATGAGGAATGTGTAGCTCATCAATCTTCAACTGTTGAAAAAATGAATATTGTTAAGTAGTTGGGTTATATAACTCACAACTAACAGAGTCCTAGCCTTTTCTAGTAATTTTTCTATTTGAACTTCAACTGGTTAGTTGATGAACGAAAATTTAGCTAATCAACATACTTTTTATCAACTGCAAGACTTTACTAGCATCATTTAGTCTGTTGAATAACAGCAACTCTTGAAAGTTCCAACAGCTTAATGTAATTCTCGAGAATTCCTAATATATACAGTGAGACAGTTCAGTTAGCAAGATAATATAATAGAGGTGAAAATGATGAATACTCCCTTGAAAAATAGTCGACATACAGTTGTTCTTCAGCATTCGTACAGTGAAGAAATTTTAGTGTTCAAATCTTGTTGCATAAAGCCCACATAAAAATCACTGTATGCGTGTGTGTTAGTCTCTGTATAGTCCCTTCAGCCCTGAAGTGGTGACCGACAGCGTGTTTTTTTTATTTATTATGATACAAAGGTTTTTCTAATTCCCTGCTAATACTTTTTATCCTGATTTCCATGAGTTTCTAGAAAAGATCGATAAGATGTTCAGCTAATTTCTTAACTCAAACTCCAAAAAACATGAGTGAGTTATTAGAGAGGCAGTCTCAAACAGATATGCAAGTAAAAACTCAGTACTTTTGGTTTCCTTCTCGATAATAGAAGATATGAGAAAACTGCAGTATGATCACCGCTTTTTTCGATTCTGAGTCATATTTGCTATCACCTCCAGTAAGCGAGTTCGATGACCTCTCGGACACCACTCAAGCAATGGTAAAACACCCACATCCGCTAATCCTACGCAACTATTCTTCATCTCACACCGCTACGTCATACACTGACTATCTCCCCGCTTCTTCCAATCAATTCCAGGGCGAGCAAACAGTGTGAGCGATGGAACAACATGTACAACGCATGTCCGAGACACCGAACCGGAAGTTTCAAGATGACCGAATTCAACGAATAGAGATCTCAATCAAACACAAACACTTGGTACTGCACCGCGAAAATATGGAAATGATTACAGTGGATGTAAGCAATCATGTAGAGAAGACGATGATCCAACCTCAATAGGTTAGGTTTCAAAGGCGTAAAGAGAAAATGCCACCACCGAAGTGTTATATACCCAACCTTTTAAAAAAAAACTAAAGTCTCAACAGAGTCAAAGGTGATCCAGATTCACGTTTATCATTCTGCCTTTCGATATACAGTTAGACATCTGACTCGTTACACCTCCAACAACACTCACAACTTTTCAATTCGATAGAGCAAAGCATATACCATACTTACGGACACTGATGGCCAACTAATTGAGTGCGATTTGAGTAGCTTGGTTTTGTAGCACAGTTAAACGATACTGCTTGTATATTCAAGGTGGGAAATCTTTCACCTGGCATCAAGTCTACACCACCATCACGTACTTCTTTCAAAGCTACCTTGAGAATGTCATAGATGATAAAGTTAAAGAGGAACAGTGAAATCAGGCAGCTCTAACAAACTCCACTATTGAAACTATGTGGTCAACAGACCATCCTATCCTCCCTCAACATTCATAACGCTAAATAATCCAAAAGGAAGTATTAATGTCGAAATTAGGATACGTCATTATTTCTTATGACTACTCAGTAATAAAATCAATGTCACTTGATAATTCGAGACTAGTACTGCTATCGATTATCTTATAAAAGTAACTGCATGATACGTATACAATCAGCTGTTTCAGAACAAAGAATTAGGTTACCTAGATTTATCTACTCCTGTCTATCAGTGAAAATTTGAATGAATTCATAAAATTGTAAATTACATGCTTTCAAAATGAAAAACTTGAATGGAAACATTAATTCCAACTTACAATAGTGAAAGTGTAGAGCATACGACAACTCAACCAAAGAGTATTACCAATCATTAGGCATACGGAAAATAGAAATGTAGTGAAAAGTCCATGATTTTGACCACCAATACAACAATTCGTCCATACACAATGATGATCGAATCGGAATATACAGTGGTCACATCGAGCTATAAAGTTAACGCAATCAAGATTAGTACAGACTGATGGATGATATACTTTTATGATTCTTTGCAAGTTCTTTCAATAACAAGAAATAGAGAAACATTTATAAGCAAGTAGACTATATTTCGGCATTTGATTCTGTACCAAGACCTATTTTACTGGACAAGTTAACCAGGACAAATGCTGAGTTCTGAATAGTCAACTGGCGGCAGTCTTATTTCTCTGATAGGAAACAACATACAGTTCACAGAGGGGAGCACTCCACCTCATTGCTTGCTGTGACTGGTGTTCCCCAAGGAGCCATCCTTTCCCCAAGTCTTTTCTTATTCTTTCTGCATGACCTACCATCTTCAGCTGGTATAAATTCCATCAAATATGCCGATGACCCAACAGTCTCCATACCTATCTCCTCTTCAACAGATTGGTCCCAAGTGAATGCTTTCCTATCTACTGTTAGACGATGGTCCCTCTGGAATGGTCTTATGCTAAATTCTTCAAAATGTCAGGCGATAAACTCTAGTCTCAAACGTGAACATAACCTGTGTGAACTGCTTAGTTCTCATGATTCGCGTTCTATTGATAGTTTTGCTTTAGAGAATGTTACAAGTGTGATTTACCTCGGTGTGTTTTTCTTCGGACCTTTCCTAGTCCTCCTATATCTTACTAATTCCCAAAAGAATTTTCTGCCCAACTTTCTATATTAGGAAGTTGAGAGTATCTGATATAATTCAGCCTCTTCTCTTATGCTTTAAGAAACTACTGCATCTCGCCTGTTCTCTTCTGCTGTTATCCTTTATTCTTTTCCGGGTTGCTGAAAAAAACTATGCTTTAATGCGTAGAACTTTGAAGATTGTCAGCAGAACTAGTGGTATACACCTCTAAACATTCTAGTTAAAACAGTTGTGGACAAACATCTTAACTCATGTAAACATCTAGCAGGACTTATTTTATCAGATGACCAACATCCTGTTCACCCAAACCTCTCTGTGTGTCGGTCATCTGGAAAGACGAGGAACAAGTACATAGGACTTTACGCACATGCTACAAAATATAAACTTTACAATACCATATTTAGCTCATGTGCTGTGTGATGAAGAAAGTATTGGAAATGAACTAACTAATCAACTGTTTTTGAAAGCAAACTAACTGATGATCAGCATGTTACTACTTACGTATTATGAACCCAATTGCTAGTGTGATTGTCTACCTAAATCACCTATGCATTTTCAAGAAAGTTGTAGGTGGAGTAAATATTCTCATCTTTTATATGTAATTTATACTCAATTCATTTTGATATGTATACATGTACACTGTCTCTGTTCAATCGATGCTTCATGACATGCTAAAAATTCTGAAGAATATTCTAGAAATAGCTTTCAGAACAAAGCCATTATTATTATATTACCATTACTATTATATTCACAAGTTTCCCAAAAAGCTTATCGATCTTAATATGAAAATAAAAAATGAAGGAGATCAAACTGTATCTTATATATTTTCGAATAACTTATTGAGAAATATTTACGTTTAAGTAACCACCTATTTTCACTGTCTTACATAATTTTGTATCAGTTGGGAGTAGAAGTGATCCGTTTCTTTGCATGTTTCCCTAGATGTTTGGAAATTCAAACAAGATATTTCTAAATGCTTTGCATGGTATTAAAGTCTGTTTCAAACTTTTAAATTCATTAAAAAAGATCTTAGTCAAAGTGAAAGATGCAATTCTTAAGATGACACAGAACAACTGTGTCTACAAAATTAAATGTTTGCAATGTGAAGCTAATTATGTTGGAGAAAGTTGTAGACCTTTAAAAGTTAGGGTGAGTGGTGAACACAAGTTGTGTACAAAACATTCACCGAGGAAGCAAGATAAGTTGGAAAATTTAGAAAAGAGATCAGCAATAGCTTCGTATGCAATTGAAAGTGGACACATGACTGACTTTGAGAATGTAGATATATTGAAAAAAGGTTTCCATTAGCATCAAGAAAGACTAACTTCCAAAGTCCTACATGTTTTAACAACATCAAATGTTATAAACAGAAAAGAAGAAACAGATTTGTAGAGGAAGTATTCACCATGGACTGACATCAGTTGGGGAATCATTGAATATCTGGAAGCACTGGACATCTGTTTCGTCCTACCATGGGACTCCTCAGTAGTACGCACCCACGACCCAGCTAGAGGTCAAACTCAGGACCTTTAGGTTTCACAGCGAACGCGTTAACCATTCGGTCACTGGGTTAGTTTTCCAGTGGTTCACAATTTTCAACTTCTGTCAATCCATGATATATCGCGACTATCATCCAAGGTCTTCAGTTGGCATCCGCTTCACTTCCGACTGGTTGACCCCACAGGTCACAGCTTCTCATTAGAGCTTCGTGATATCCATCTGGAAGTAATGGTTCCCCCACTGATGTCAGTCCATGATGAACACTACCTTTAAATTAAAAATACCCATTCATCTCAAAATAAATAGATTTTTCACTTATTTGGCAAACATTAATCCAAAAAAAAGTTAATGTTGACCTTTTCGAAGTGAAGTTTCAATAACAATGACAATTATTGACGGTTCATAAATAAAAGTACAAAAAACAACAGGTATTGTACAAAATACATAAACACACACACACACACACACACACACACACACACTTGACTACACATTTTCGTTACCAAACCACAATATCGAGTATGAACCTGTAGTGATTAATCAAAATAACTCAGTCTGAATAACAAACCACTTAACCAATGGTCTGAACACACTGAATATTTGATGCATTATTCGACTATACATTTTGATATTAATAAAAATCCCTAAATTATGCTGAAGAAGCTATGGTTTACACAGCGAAACGTTCAGAAATATTTTGTTATGATTTTCTAAACATATTGACTATGATAATTTACCTGGTTGTGGGTAAGCAGAGCAATCCAAAATGCGCGTTTCGTCCAATTTCGGACCCGTCGGCTGGATTTACCTGTATCCCAATAGGTGATGTTGTTCCCGCTGAGACTCGAACCTCATACCAAGTAACATTCAAACCTACCACGTAAATTATCATAATAAATATGCAGGCAATATCGAGGCATCTGCATAGGAGCCCATGTTCACAACAGAGGTCGCACAATTCCATCAAGTATAGCAACGGAAAAGTACATACATCAACAAATACTTATAATTACTGAGATTAGATTAAAATATTCTCTTATAATGATTAAATCGGACCCAGGGATCAACTTTTTTCAGGCAATTTATAGCAGTTATGGTATATATATATATATATATATATATATATACGCCGCCATGTTCTACCAACTAGTGTCAGACACAAACCACCTGTCGACTGTCCAATAGGCTAGAAAGGAGTAAAAGATACATGATAAAAATGATCACCAATGCTCACTATAACCTTCAGAAACAACAGCAGAAGATAGAAAGTCAGAGGAGAAAGCTCCAGGGATACTCATGACCAAATATTTTACAACGTTGGCAACTTCGATTGAAAAATCAAGCAGACGACACAAAGAACAGAGAAAAAATATCCTTCAAGAAAAGCTTGCCAAGATTTCGAAACCACGAGTATCAGAAGTGAAAGAAAGAAGTGAGTGCAAAGTCAACTTGTCGAAACAAAACCCCGACTAAATCTGAGGAACTTCTTTTTCAGAAAGGACTACATTACAATACAGGAGACACTTCAGGAACAGAATTATTCGCATTCCTAGAGTCATTACTGAAGACTTCAGGACTAAACTCTGAGATCCAACAGGAAATACGACAAGTAACCATAACCCTGACCAGGTGGAAGCAAAACCGAAAGCAATCAAGCTGATCTGTGAATTTCGTTAACTAGATGATAGTGATCTAAGCACCAAACGGCCGTTTCGCGCGTTTTCGGTAGAGCCGATTAGCCCCAGTGGCCTAATAAGTGACGCCTCGGCGTTTGAAGCGATGGGTACTGGTTATGAGTCTAAGTGGGAACAACGTCACTCACTGAGGTGTAGGTATATCCAGCTGATGAGCCCCAAATAGAATCCCGTCCTGAATTCCACTGCTAGTCACCAAGATCAACAAGACAAATTTAGTTCAGAGCCGAATTCCTTCAGACCACCTTAATCCACCTAATTGACTTGCTTGAATGAACCAGTATAGTTTAAATCTAAATGTGATATGAATTACACGATCCACGTTGTAAATTATTTGCAAAAAGAAAAAGCAGTTTTATTCCCAAGAGCACCATAAGTATCAATTATATGGAAGGAAAAAAAAGGATGAAAAAAGGTTCACAGTAAAATGTTCTGTTAAATCTTGTTTTACTTTCAAAGTTTGATAAACTTACAACAATGCTTAGCTCTAGCTGGGATTACATGACAACATACTTTGCACTGTTTAGGAGAATATACAAAATGATCATATTCATAAATATGTGCATATACTGATTTATTCCGTGATGTAATAAAACCTATGATAAAAATAACACAATAACAAAAAGCTAAGAAATTAACTTCATTTTAGATATATCATCACATTATAAAAATTTGGATAACGGTTATATATGAACTAGTTGTTAAAATGTAACTTTTCTTTCACTATACAAATCAATCAGTCTACCAACCAAGTGTACCCTCAAATAGTCTTGTTACACAAAGTTAATGGAATTCAATGAACTTTTTCAACCTAGTTTTTTCATCTAGTAAGACAAACGAGGTGAAGCTCCATCCGTTCAATTAACGAAACAGTTTACTTTCAGATAGCAGTCGTTAGAGTCAGTCAATAACGAGTTAAATCAATGCAAACATCAAATCAATCTGCTCTTTCCCTTATTGATCTAACAATAGTAAGATAGAACTCAGTTTAGTGATTCGGATTGCAGGTGTAATACTACTATAAAACTCCAATGACTACAGCTAAACTGTCATCAAAAACTAGTAGCATCTTTCTTTTGGTTCAAGTATGTTCAGCTTGGTAAAAAGGCTCAGGAAAACCAGGCGAAAACATGGCATCACCGGTTGAAGTCCTTCACTGTTGCTTAGAGTCATGCCAGGAGATGTAGACTAGCCACCTGAAGTACACGCATAATAGCCCAGAATCGATATCAGTGGCGCAGACGCAGCCATACCCCCTATTAACCGCATTCTAGAATTCAAAATCCTCTCATTCCTCTTACTAATTTTTTTCCTTTTGAATGTTTCTTTCGTTCTTCACCTTATCTCTTACAAATTTGTTACCGCGCGTGCTGACATGATGTGAACTGACATGGAAACATAACCAAAAATCCCCAGTCATACTGACTGACGCTTTCACGCTGAAACAGTCCACACGCATTATTACAATACCTACATGTCTCCTGAGTTCAAAGAAGAACATTAGGCTTCACCACCGCACCTCCGTTTCACTCTCTTCTATGCAAACTTTTCAACTTGGCTCCACGACAGCCCACAAGCTCTCGTTTCTTCCTCACATTATCTCCTCCATGTCACCCTCAGACGCCCAACTCGTCGTTCCCCATGCCGTTTCCACTCGGCGACCTGGCCTGGTCTGGTACGTGATGTCCCCAATTGGCCTTCTCAGTGTATGCCCAATCCATATACACTTTCTTCCACCGCATATTTGTTGAGTGATAGGTTGTTGGTTGGTTCACTGCCTGCCAGCTAGCCAGAGTCCCTTGTTGCTTACTCTTATTATTCTGGCCATCTGATCTCCATCTTCAGTATCGAGTGAGCGTAGGCGGCAATTGTTCATGAATGTCTGTAGTTTATTGGAAATCCCTTTCGTAACGCGTCAAGTTTCTAAACCTCATAGAAGCACTGACTTGACGTTAGTGTTGAAAATCCGGATCTTGTTCTTTGTGCTGAGTGCAGTAGATTTCCACACAGATTATTTCAGATCAATGCAGGAAGGCCTGTCTCGCTATCTTTCTGATCCTGGCTTTGACGTCCACATCTGTACCACCTGTAGTTCAAACGATGCTGCATTGTCTAGGTAGGTGGGCGAAAGAGACTACTTCCTTTAAGTTTCTCCCGTTGATAGTGATTCGTGGTTGTTATTGTTGTTCGTTGGGTATCTTCACCACCTCCGTCTTCTCCACGTTCACTTGAAGTACCGTCTTCGTTGCCTCGCTTCTTCTGTCAACTTGTTAGTTTTCGCCTGTACATCTTCGAGTTTTTGTGACATCAGACATAAATCACCATCGTTGGCGAAATCTAAATCTTCTCCTAGGGTCTTCTCATCGGTCCAGCCAGCATATGTCCCTCTTCTCGCTCCTCACAGTTGTCTGTGGCATGATCCAGTCCAGTCGACCACAATCAGGAAGATCATCGGTGATGATAGTAGGCGGTGGCCTTGTCTTACTCCTGTCCCATGTCTTCACTTCAAACGCGTCACCGAGCTTTCTGTTATAGATCACTTGGCATGTGGCGTCGTCATATAGCTGTTGAATGAAGTTGATAACGATTTGTGGCACTAGAACCGTAGTGTTGAAGCAGCTGCCTGCCAAATGACTTCTCGGTCGACGCCTTCATCCAATGCCTTTTCAAAGTGGATGAAGTTGAGGTAGAGTTGAGTTGACTACCATTCTATACTCTCTTCTATGATGATGAGGCATAGCGTAGTGTTGCAATTTGATCCGTACCTAATTTGTTCTTCTTGAAGCCAGCCAGCCAGCCAGCCAGCCTGTTGTGGTGGTAATTTTCAATGCATAGCATCGTTTAGTCTCTCCAGGATGATGCGGCTTAATATTTTGCTTGCTTGGTGTGGACAGGAGTGTGATTCCTCGCCAGTTCTAACAAAACACTTAGGTCACCCACCTCTCTTTGAGAGTTTGGCAAGGTAGCCTTGCTAACAATCTCCAGGTACCTTTCCTTCCTTCCAGACCTTCTGCAATAGTGGTGTGAAGATGTCCGCTGCCATCTCTGTATCCGCATTCGGTACTTCTGGTAGAATTCCATCTGGTTCTGCTGCTTTCCCGGATTTCAGCTACCTTGTGGTATGGCGTTCGGGACTTCTGCTTTTGTCGAAGGACATGTGTTCACTTGTAGTTCTGCCGTTGCTGGTGGTATTTCTGGACGAAATGCAGGTGGTGATGGTGGTGGTCGATTCAAGAGTTTTTTGAAGTGGTTGGCCCATTGTTTCCTTTGTTTCTTCTCTTTGGTAAGTACTAAGTTTCCTTCACTATCTCTCATTGGTTTTATCTTTGTTGACCTCTCCTCCCAGATAGTATTTTGGTTATTTGATGTAGTGTTGTCAGGTCTCTCTCTCCTACCTACTGTCTGTTCTGCTTCATTTGTCAGTGTGTTGAAGAAGTGTCTCTTGTCTTTGCATGCACTCTTCTTCACTTCTTTGTCCAATGTAGTGTTTTATGGTTCTTATTTAGTTCCTCTCTTTGTTGTTCATCTTCGCATTGCACTGCACTGGTTTATCTTCTGCTTCACCATCTTCCTCTCGTCTATCAACTTTTGCAGCTTCCTAGCACTTCAATGCTATACCTTCTCATCTCCTTTGCAATCTGGGCAGCCTTGGTAGGTTCAAACATGGTGTGGACATTCCATGTTTCCATGTTTACTTTTGCTTTTATCGAGAAAAGCTGAGACAGATTGGTCAATTGGCTTTCCGAGGGCTTTCACCAATCAGCGTCATTTCACCCTCTGATTCCAGAAAGGGATGAGTTTGTTTTCATTTTTTATATTTTGTTTGTGCTTTGAAGTTTCTTTAGCGGTTGGATTGGTTTTACGGGTGGGGTTGCTAGCCGCATGCCCAACCTTCATTCTTTACCCGGGCTTAGGACCGGCTAGTAACTAGTTAACTAGTCTATTTATCAGTAATGACTGTAAAGTTCGCCCAGCAATGCATTGTACTACTTTCTAAGGAAAAATTACAGTAGGATATATATGCACAAAATTGGTTACTGACCTGGGTCACTAAAACACAACAGCATGTATAATAGTCCATTGAAAAATAAGCATCCAATCCCAAGAAACAAATTATTTTCCAACCATGAATATCGATAGAGTACAGTAATAACATCCATAATCAATATATAGTGTCCAATAAGGATAAGAGTTAGATAAATCACTTGATAAACGCAGTGTCTGAAAAAAAAGTATATGAAAAAGATGCGCATATAAATATCTCTGAGATGTTATCTTATGCTTTACTGGTTTACTTTAACCAACTAAAAGGGTGAACTAACTTCAAGTCACTTCATAAAACCAAGCAAACACAAACATATCGAGAGATGCAAAATGAATATCAAGGTATACTGATTAAACTATTCTGCAGACTTATGTTTACACACACGAGGTTGATGACCGTAGTTGAAAGGTAACCTGAGCCGTGACAGAACTTAGAACCCTAGTAATCGAAATCCATTGTCCAATCCATTGGGTTACTTGTTATGGCTTATGCTTTTTCTCAAATTTAGTTATCATCATCGTTCATACAAACATTACAATGTGATTTATAGTTTTGGGAACTAGCACTACCTCTCAGAGATTTAACTTGAAAATGCCAAAAAAAACCAACCAATCTCGACTACACCCTTTCTGGAAATCTGGCTCTACAAACATGATCCGTAGGCGAAGAATGTCCACGTTAACTAAATAAATTTCACGTAGGCACAAGCTTACTGACCTGACCATCAGCAGCTGGAAGAACAACGGAAAGCACATTCAGTTCCTGTCCTGTTTCTAGAATTGAATTATTAATTCATCAATCCTCGTTTAGTACTCACCAGAACACCTACTGCAAAACGACGCATGGAGAGCAAGAACCGTAATCGCAATAGGTATATTTCATATGGTCCTAACAAGGAGCCTTATTAGGCAGTTCTACCAAACAGTTCACACAAACTCAGTCACACGGTACTCGCGCTAACGTAGTAGCAATAACATAGAACTACTTGTACTATAATGAAAACTAGCAGAATGATGGTACTTTTCAAAGTCACAGAACAATAGTAATCAACGGGAATATCGTTAGATAAGTAGGTACTTTCTATGACAAGTAGACACAACACATGCATGCATCACAAGTCTGTCTGGAAAGTGATAATTTGTCATAGTTTCCTCCTATCGAGCTCTCGAAACCGAATTATATCACATAGCTTTCTCAAACCGACAAATAAAATATTAGTCAGACACACGCTTCAAAAAGAAAGACAGCGAGGTGGAAAACTGATGCGGGGAAGGATGTATCCCTTACCTACATAACCGCAAAACTCGCCTAGGTAACTAGTTCACAAGCTACTACGCAGTCCTAAGCCCGGGTAAAGAATGAAGGTTGGGCATGCGGCTAGCAACCCCACCCGTAAAACCAATCCAACCGCTAAAGAAACTTCAAAGCACAAACAAAATATAAAAAATGAAAACAAACTCATCCCTTTCTGGAATCAGAGGGTGAAATGACGCTGATTGGTGAAAGCCCTCGGAAAGCCAATTGACCAATCTGTCTCAGCTTTTCTCGATAAAAGCAAAAGTAAACATGGAAACATGGAATGTCCACACCATGTTTGAACCTACCAAGGCTGCCCAGATTGCAAAGGAGATGAGAAGGTATAGCATTGAAGTGCTAGGAATCTGCAAAAGCAGATGGAATGGAAGTGGACTCTCCAAACTGTCAACTGGAGAGTCAATAATCCACTCAGATGTTGCCACCTACACGACAATCACGAGCACACAAAGGGAGTTGCTATCATGATGTCCCCAAAGACCATCAAAGGCTCTCTCTCGTGCAGTGCGAACCAATCTCGTCCAGGATCATAACAGCAAGATTCAACTCAAAAGGAAGGAAAGTCACGATGATACAATGCTACGCACCTACAAATAATGCAGATGAAGAGAAGAAGGAGGAATTCTACAGACAACTGCAATCAACGCTGAACAAGACACCATTTCAGTTGGCGACATCAAAATTCATTCTAATGGGTGGGATGACATGAATGCTAAACTTGGAGCGGACAACACAGCAAGGGGAATAACCATGGGTTGAAAAGCGCTCGGTGAGGTGATGAACGAGAATGGAGAACTGTTTGTAGAATTCTGCCCCTTCAATGGTTTAGTGATTGGAGGCACTGTGTTCAAGCACAAGGACATCCACAAAGTGACATGGATTCGATTTCACCAGACATCAGGACACACTAAAAATCAAATCGACTTCATCTCAATCTCAAGAAAGTGGAGACGCAGCCTACTGGACACAAGATGAAGAAGGGGAGCAGATGTAGATTCAGACCACTCACCATCTAGTCCAAGGAACTTAAATTCAAAATCAAGTTGAAAGCCTTCAAGGAGGTTGGTGATAGACCACAATTCAAGTTCAACACCCAGAACACAAATTGAAGAACGAAACGACAAAAGACATCTTCACGTGGTCAGTCATCAGGACAAAATGAGAGACATTGAGCAACATTCCTGAAGAAACCTCCGTGGAAGAACACCGGAACTCTCTGGAAGAGATGTGGAAAGAAACCTGAATAACCGTATTAGGAAGGAAGAAAAAACAGGACAGGGATGGATCTCGACGGACACATGGAAGTTGATAGACGAGAGGAAGATGGTGAAGCAGAAGATAAACCAGTGCAGTGCAATGCGAAGATGAACAACAAAGAGAGGAACTAAATAAGAACCATAAAACACTACATTGGACAAAGAAGTGAAGAAGAGTGCATGCAAAGACAAGAGACACTTCTTCAACACACTGACAAATGAAGCAGAACAGACAGTAGGTAGGAGAGAGAGACCTGACAACACTACATCAAATAACCAAAATACTATCTGGGAGGAGAGGTCAACAAAGATAAAACCAATGAGAGATAGTGAAGGAAACTTAGTACTTACCAAAGAGAAGAAACAAAGGAAACAATGGGCCAACCACTTCAAAAAACTCTTGAATCGACCACCACCATCACCACCTGCATTTCGTCCAGAAATACCACCAGCAACGGCAGAACTACAAGTGAACACATGTCCTTCGACAAAAGCAGAAGTCCCGAACGCCATACCACAAGGTAGCTGAAATCCGGGAAAGCAGCAGAACCAGATGGAATTCTACCAGAAGTACCGAATGCGGATACAGAGATGGCAGCGGACATCTTCACACCACTATTGCAGAAGGTCTGGAAGGAAGGAAAGGTACCTGGAGATTGTTAGCAAGGCTACCTTGCCAAACTCTCAAAGAGAGGTGGGTGACCTAAGTGTTTTGTTAGAACTGGCGAGGAATCACACTCCTGTCCACACCAAGCAAGCAAAATATTAAGCCGCATCATCCTGGAGAGACTAAACGATGCTATGCATTGAAAATTACCACCACAACAGGCTGGCTGGCTGGCTGGCTGGCTGGCTGGCTGGCTGGCTGGCTGGCTGGCTGGCTGGCTGGCTGGCTGGCTGGCTGGCTGGCTGGCTGGCTGGCTGGCTGGCTGGCTGGCTGGCTGGCTGGCTGGCTGGCTGGCTGGCTGGCTGGCTGGCTGGCTGGCTGGCTGGCTGGCTGGCTGGCTGGCTGGCTGGCTGGCTGGCTGGCTTCAAGAAGAACAAATTAGGTACGGATCAAATTGCAACACTACGCTATGCCTCATCATCATAGAAGAGAGTATAGAATGGTAGTCAACTCAACTCTACCTCAACTTCATCCACTTTGAAAAGGCATTGGATGAAGGCGTCGACCGAGAAGTCATTTGGCAGGCAGCTGCTTCAACACTACGGTTCTAGTGCCACAAATCGTTATCAACTTCATTCAACAGCTATATGACGACGCCACATGCCAAGTGATCTATAACAGAAAGCTCGGTGACGCGTTTGAAGTGAAGACATGGGACAGGAGTAAGACAAGGCCACCGCCTACTATCATCACCGATGATCTTCCTGATTGTGGTCGACTGGACTGGATCATGCCACAGACAACTGTGAGGAGCGAGAAGAGGGACATATGCTGGCTGGACCGATGAGAAGACCCTAGGAGAAGATTTAGATTTCGCCAACGATGGTGATTTATGTCTGATGTCACAAAAACTCGAAGATGTACAGGCGAAAACTAACAAGTTGACAGAAGAAGCGAGGCAACGAAGACGGTACTTCAAGTGAACGTGGAGAAGACGGAGGTGGTGAAGATACCCAACGAACAACAATAACAACCACGAATCACTATCAACGGGAGAAACTTAAAGGAAGTAGTCTCTTTCGCCCACCTACCTAGACAATGCAGCATCGTTTGAACTACAGGTGGTACAGATGTGGACGTCAAAGCCAGGATCAGAAAGATAGCGAGACAGGCCTTCCTGCATTGATCTGAAATAATCTGTGTGGAAATCTACTGCACTCAGCACAAAGAACAAGATCCGGATTTTCAACACTAACGTCAAGTCAGTGCTTCTATGAGGTTTAGAAACTTGACGCGTTACGAAAGGGATTTCCAATAAACTACAGACATTCATGAACAATTGCCGCCTACGCTCACTCGATACTGAAGATGGAGATCAGATGGCCAGAATAATAAGAGTAAGCAACAAGGGACTCTGGCTAGCTGGCAGGCAGTGAACCAACCAACAACCTATCACTCAACAAATATGCGGTGGAAGAAAGTGTATATGGATTGGGCATACACTGAGAAGGCCAATTGGGGACATCACGCACCAGACCAGGCCAGGTCGCCGAGTGGAAACGGCATGGGGAACGACGAGTTGGGCGTCTGAGGGTGACATGGAGGAGATAATGTGAGGAAGAAACGAGAGCTTGTGGGCTGTCGTGGAGCCAAGTTGAAAAGTTTGCATAGAAGAGAGTGAAATGAAGATGTGCTACTGAAGTCCTATCTTCCAACAGGGACACAAGGGACAAATATTCATAATAAACATAACCACTGGGTAAAATTTTCAGTAATTAGAGAGACTTGCAACTAAGTGTCTTAAGTCAATCAGAGCCCGATGGTTACCAGTTCAAACTCTGGAACAACTCAAGTTACCTTTCAAATTTGAAGCACCAATTCAATGATCAATTAAATCAGCAATCAACTTTTATTAATAGAGACAGAGGAAACCAAGCAGTGTAAAGTTCAATTACTCTGAACCACATAATCAACTGTTTTCAAACACTTTACAACACACTTCCGTTGGTGGCCTGCTTGAACCTTGGGTTACTAAATTTATCCATCGAATGTTTTTCATCAAATTCTTTTCTTTTAATTTGTTTTAATTACTTAAATATGTCCTTTGAATGCACCACGTATTCTTGCACATTTTTAAACTGTTTCCAACTCTCGGTTTCTCGTGTTAATAACAAAACAATCAAAGAAAAAATGTTACGCCATATGAAAATGGACATTTCTGTGTGAAAAAGTACAGTATATCATATTTGTATTCGTCAGATGCTAAGCCTGAATAAACCCCCAACACCAAAATTAAGCTTGCATTTCTGTTGTTCCTTCATTATGGATTGGATGCCCATCTAAAACCAGCTGGCTATTTCACTTTATTGCCTTCAATACTGTTATTATTAACATCATGCAGAAGCAATAACCGTTTCGTCTGAAAGTATTGTTCTAGGAGTGAATTTGTTGAAAAATTACATGCTGAGAATTCCATACTGTCATACACACTGTCTGGAATAAAGCGATTATTACTATTATTATTATTATTATTATTATTATTATTATTATTATTATTATTACGATCCAGTTTATTTCCATATTTCCGTTGTTAATTTCATACACTAATTGTATAATCCTCCTCAAAATTATCATGGTTCCATTTAAAGGAACTACTTATAGCAGCTTTCAGTGATAACTAAATGTAAAATAAAAGGATATGAGGAAGAAAACTACCAGGAAATTACTAGTTACGGTCTGTATCAATTTAATGTGTAGTAAAGAAAATTTATCAAATAGTGACTATAACATATTTCAATCAAGGAATAAGAAAAGCCTTGTCATGAATTTATTAGAAAAAATATATGCATTTAGTAATTGTGATACGCTTTCCGAATATCTGGAAAAGTTTGTACCACTAAAGACTTTACGAAAAATGAAAAGTGTTACGTCTACGAGGAAAGTCTGAAGGCTGAGTAATTACCCAGATTTGATAGTATTTTGTCAGCATCATCTCTTAGTATGACAATATCGTCAGCATACCCCAAGTCAATCAGATGACTTCAAGCGAATAGTTCAACCAATGGGAGGTCAGATGTACCTAAGGTTATATCTATTAGCACGTCAATGATGAAGTTAAATAGGAACAGTGACATTGCACATCATTGGAGAACACCAATAGTTGTCGTCATTCCACATGACAACTCTATGTAAGCTCTAACACTGGTGTGAATTCAAGTAGAGAGCTTCGACTAGCGTTACATACTTGATCGATACTCCCTCCATAGTCAGACATTGCGACAACACCTAACGGTCGACAGTCATATGCCGCCTTCAGATCAAAAAACATGGCTAATAAGAATGATAAATTAAGCCCAGAACGTCGCCTAGTGAACAATGTTACACCAACCAAAATAACAAACATACCCTACGTCTTCCATGAAGTATAAACATATTTCTATCTTACCAGTTAGATTGGATATTTTCTCGAGCATCAATTCAAGTTAACTTAATTCCAGCTGGAAACAGCAAAAAATCTTATTTATTTTAGTTTTACCGTAATTTGATGATCGCATTAAAAAAGTCACTCTAAACCTGTTTAGGTACAGTCCCGCATAACACCCCCAATATTATATATTTGTAGGGGAATTACGTCGACAGATCGACATAGGATCAGGTATAAATGCGTCACAGTTCAAGTTGTCACACCTCTCATACCAGCACATCAAGCAAGAACCCACTAAGATGAAAGATAAGGAAATAAAGACGAATCAGTCAAAATTAGTAAAAGACAGGAAGGAGGAACAAGAAAATAGTAAATTCAGTATAAAGATGAAGATAGTGTGTGGGATACAAATGCCCCACAGGAACCGAGTTTACCCCATGTCAACACTGGCTTCTGTTGCCACGCGGACCACAAGCGCTCTCAAATTGCTAGTCAAGGTAACCATAAGGCTCTACATCTTGTCAGAGTCCTCACCTAACAGGACTGTCATCCACATGCTCTAAGTATACTAGGGAGTTTTCTGTGACAAGGTGAGTGGCTGTAGAGTTAGATGGAAAGAAAGAGTTCTATGAGTACATCTACGACAATATTAAATGAAAATGGAGGTGGACACGCTTGACAGACACCACCCGATGTACACAACTCACCACAGGCTCTTAACACGCCAACGGGTGCTCAATATACGACAACATAAACCATAAAGCGATTATATTCATAAATCCTATATCTTTTGGTCATCAATACTCCTGTATTGAATACTATCAACTTTACCTGTGAGTGTAAATCTATATGAAAATACGTCAGACGCATATTCATAGACAGCATATGTTTTACACATAACTTAATTGAATCGAATGGAAAATGAAAACCAAGCGTGTGTTTGTATGGAGCACGAGTTACACATTAAGTTTAATGGATATGTACAATTGATGATTTATTAAGAAGGGGAGAGACTCTAAAGGCAACACTAACAACTACTAAGACAACTAATTAGGTTCCTTTATTTATGAAAAACTTAATTTCCAGCCTAAATAGAGAACCTAATTGGTTACTTCCACGGTTTCTGAGGTGATCTTTAGAGATGCTCAAGTTGAAGTTAGTGAAAATCATTCTAATGACATACCAGATTCATCTTATAGAGACATAACCATCAACCATCAATGATTATCGACATGCAAACGGATAGAATCGCACTGTAGCAACACAAAATAAGGAGAAATCCAATAAGATATCAAAACAAACAAGAAAGTCAACAGTGAAGGAATGAATAAATGAAGACTACTATTCTGTTCATCACTGAAACGATAATGAAATCAAATAGATCCGTCACCGTAATTGTCTTGCATACTACCACTCAACGCTTGAAATCATCAATTACAAAACATCACCAGGAGTATTATCAATCGGTATGTAAAATGAAAAGTACATTTTTCTTCATACAAATGTAGATTTTGATAAAGCGGTTTGGAATGCTCCTATCAGTAATACATACAACGCAATAAACATAATTTTTTAGTGAATTAATATTTTTTTTATCATTTGACTATCCGAGATAACCGTAGTTCGCTAGACTAGTATTTATACTGAGTGATGATTGAAGGTGAAATGGAAATCTGAACCGCGGCCGGATTTGAACCAACCGGGTTACCAGACTGGTGCTCCACCAACTGAGCTACGAGGTCCGACTGCTGA